GGTTTAAGGCCTGGAAAATGTAGCTTACCATGTAAAAATATCTCACCACAAGAAATCAGTAATTTTCAAAGCTGGTAAAACTATCAATTCTACTAAAAAAAAACCTCGAGGCTACAGGTAGGTTGATAGGGTAAATACTAAAATTAATACCAACTGGGTTGCTATTAAGCTTACCTTACAGCTTTGAAAAACTCTGATTTCTTGTGGGTTTCAGTGGTGAGCTGCATTTCCTTAGTTTCAGCCGACTTCCCAGCAGGAATTCGAGTCTGATGAAAAATCAGCAAAAGGAAGCCCTCACTAAGAAACATACTGGTATCATTCACTGAGTGGAGACAGTGAAAAGGAACATATTTCTAAAGGCAAATTCACATTAGTAATATATATGTTTATATGGCAAAGACGGATTTAATTTCTTATGGCAGAAAGAACAATTAATTTTCCTTGAAAACCTGATTGCTTTTTCTACAACGTGTTTGCTTTTACCCTACCTATCTCTTTGAGATATTCATTAGTCACAGTTCACCCCTTAAGTGCCCTTTAAGAAATCAAAACAAAAAACCTTTAGGTCTAAATTTGAGCAGTAGTTATAAGACATCTTCTGGCAGCAACGCTGGGATCTTATAGCAGAAAAAAAAATTAGTAAAACAAACCTTTAACAATTTTTTGCATCCCCTTTATCAGCTCAGATACTACCTCTCAAATCTGTGACAAACAAATCTGGAAATCTTGCTTTATCTATATAGAAATAGGTTAAAACTTTAAAGTAAGTATTTGATAATTTCAAGAAAAAACATGTTTTCTAAAATGTCTTTAACACAGTAATTCACAATAGTATACAGTTCTAAAAACTTAGAAATAGAACTTTGCTTTAAAAACATCCTGAAATACATACCTTTCATTAATTATTCTGAATTATAAGGTTTATCATATTTAAACCTTGTTCTAGACTAGTACTGTCAATAAAGCACCAGTACCCACAGGTAGTTAAATTTAAATTTAAATTAATTAAAATAAAATGTTCAGTTCCTCAGCTGTACTAGCAACCTTATTAGTGTACAATGGTCATGTGAGGTTGGTGGCTACCTTATGGAACAGCACAGATCCAGAGCTTACTGCAAGAAGTTCTATTCAATAGCATTGCTGTAGACAAAACCTAAATGGGGAGACAGCATAGTTAAATGGCCTTACCTGGTCTGAGGAGGTGTGGGTGTGTAAAGGGGCTGGGCTGGCCTAAGTATCGGTTTGGAATCCTCCTTTCTGGGACAGGATGAAGGGAGTACCTTCGCTGTGAACACAACATACATCCTGAATGAAGAATAGAGAGGGCGAAATGAAACAATAGATCTAAGAAGTCTTCATGGTGTAAATACACTTATCCATCTCCAGCAGTTTGGATGCTTTAGAAAAATGCCAACTAGTATTTCCTTCCTTCTCTCCTTCAATATTCATTTACTTATTTTTAAGACAGAGTCTCACTCTGTCGCCCAGGCTGGAGTCAGTGGCTCAGCCTCCCTAGTAGCTGGGACTACAGGTATGTGCCACCAAGCCTGGTTAATTTTTTTTATTTTTGGTAGAGATGAGGTCTCACTATGTTGCCCAGGCTGGAAACCCACACCATTTTCTTTGTAATCATCTTAGAAACTATGATTTTTCTTTTTTTAAAATCTTTTTAGAAGAAACTATGCTTTTTCTAAACAATCCTCTACAAACTTAATTGGAATTAACTTTTAAGACTCCTCTCTCCCAAATACATATATTATTATTCATAATTCGTAGTCCTTACAGAAATTGTGTGTTCACAAAGAGATTGTACAGTATTGATCGTTGAGATCAAACAGAGAGGACCTAGTGAGCAGCATGGGGGAGGGATAAAAGCAAAGATTACAAAGTCAAATAAACCTGAGTTTGAATCTCAGTTTCTTTGGTACTAACTGTGTAACCTTGTCCAGATAACTTCTCTGAGTCTGATTCTGTGTTTGTAAAACAATGATGATAATGCCTACTTCACGTGACAGTTAAAAATCTAATTCCTTAATTTAGAATGCAAAGCCTTCAAAGCTCTCTTATCTTCCTAATCTTTTCATCTCCCTCCAGCAGCACTAACCCGCTGGTGGAGTAGGCTGCTGCTGCACTGGTGAGTTCTCTCGTGATTTCTCTCTCTCCTCTTGCACCTTCTCCACATGCACGCTTGTGCACACATACTCATGCATACATAGTATCTTCTGTAATCTCATTCGGGAGTGAAATTTCAGAATATAAAAAGTTAACTGATTCCTTTTTCAATGCTCATATGAAATAATCCTAGCATATCCTTCTATTTTGGACCACTCTCAAGCAGAGGGAGCTTAACTTTAATAAATTCAAAGCAAACAAGTGACACTTTAACAGGAGACATAAATTGAGATGTTTATTCCCAGTACATTTTTTAAAAAGGTCTCAATAGCTTTTTACTTACATTAAACATCTTTTGCCCAAAGTCATGTAATTAGTAGCAAAGCTGGTGTGTTAAGTTCTATTTCAAAAATATCCAGTTCATTCATAAGTTTCAAACTCTTTTGCTTAGGAAACTTTGTGATTTGGATCCTGCTCCCTCATCTGATCTAATCCTCAAAAAACATAATTGCAGCCACACTAAGCTACTTGAAGAATTCCGGCTAAATCATTCTGTATCATAATAGCATTTGCATGAAAAAATACAGTTCTTTTAAAGAGGACACCGCCTGCTTATGTGATTACACAAATTCTTAAAAAAATCAGCTCAAATAGCACTTATGCAGGAGACTTCTCTTACTCTTCTCACACCTACTGCTTCTGTTTCAGATGTCTTTGCCAATGCTCCTATGGTTTCTATTTTAATACCTACTACACTTCACATAATTGCTAATTAGTTTGCCAGTCTACTATGAACAATCTTTGGAAAAAGAGATAACTTGTTACTTGACTTTATTTTCCCAGTGACTTGATTTGGAATGTATTTTGAAGTGAAAAGTCAATGAGTCTGGCTTCTACTTGGACATAAGAAATAAAAAAGAGGAATTAAGAATAATTCTTGATTTTTGACTTCAACAAGTGAATAAATGGTTGTACCATTACGTGAAACAGGAAAGCCTGAGATATTTATTGGAAATAAATTTAATGGAGAGGTCAAATGAGCAATCTTAATTTCAGGGAGAAAAGTGCCAGGCTAGATATATAAATTAAGGTGTTATAAGCACACAGATAGCATCTAAAGCCCTGGGAATGGGTATTACCCAGGGAAACTGAACAAAGCCTGGCACTGTAATATTTTAAGTGTGAGAAGGAACACAGGAGAAAGAAGGAAAATAAGAAGAATGTGGTATTTAGGGCCGGATGCGGTGGCTCACGCTTGTAATCCCAGCACGCTGGGAGGCCGAGGCAGGCAGATCACTTGAGGCCAGGAGTTCGGGACCAGCCTAGCCAACATGGCTAAACTGTGTCTCTACCCGCCACCCCCTACCCCCCACAAAGAAAGAGTGTGGTATTTAGGAAGTTAAACAAACAAGTGTTTTCAGAAGTGGGGAGGGCCAGGCCAGGCGCGCTGGCTCACGTTTGTAATCCCAGAACTTTGGGAGGCCGAAGTGGATGGATCACCTGAGGTCGCGAGTTCGAGACCAGCCTGACCAACATAGAGAAACCCCGTCTCTACTAAAAATACAAAATCTGCCGGGCACGGTGGTGCATGCCTGTAATCCCAGCTACTTGGGAGGCTGAGGCAGGAGAATGGCTTGAACCTGGGAGGTGAAGGTTGTGGTGAGCCGAGATCACACCATTGCACTCCAGCCTGGGCAACGAGTGTGAAACTCCATCTCAAAAAAAAAAAAAAAAGAAAGAAAGAAAGGTGGGGAGGGCTCACAGTGTGGCAAGTGCTTCAAAATATAAGGAAGCCAAAAGGACGACCACTGGATATGGTAACATCAAAGTCACTGGAGACCCTGGCGATTTTAGCAGAGTAAAGAAGACAGAAGACAGATTGGAGCGTGCCAAGGAGGGAATATGATGTAAGAAAGCAAAGACACTGAGAAAATACTCTGGATAAGTTTTGTTGTGAAGAGGCAGAGAAAATGGCACAGCAGATGGCTGGGAGGCAAAGGATCATCAAAGTAGGGGATAACGGCAGAAACAAGTGCTCGTCTTATAACTTTATACTCCACTGAAATTAGTTTTTTCAAACTATATGAATTTCTTAAGAGCAGAATTTCCTATTTTCTACCTTCTCTCTGTATCATTGTGTCAGAGGCGTTCGAACCAGAGCAACTCCATCTTCAGTAGGGGTCTGGTAAAATAAGGCTAAGACCTGCTAGGTTCCATTCCCAGTTTAAGTTAAGGCAGTCTTAATCACAGAATGAAATAGGAGGTCGGCACAAAATGCAGGACATAAAAACCTTGCTAATAAAACAGGTAAGTTATAGTAAAGAAGCTGGCCGGCTGGGCGTAGTGGCTCATGCCTGTAATCCCAGAACTTTGGGAGGCTGAGGCAGGCGGGTCACCTGAGGTCAGGAGTTCGAGATCAGCCTGACCAACATGGAGAAATTTCCTCTCTACTAAAAATACAAAATTAGGCCGGGCACGGTGGCTCATGCCTGTAATCCCAGCACTTTGGGAGGCTGAGGCGGGCGGATCACGAGGTCAGGAGATTGAGACCATCCTGGCGAACATGGTGAAACCCCGTCTCTACTAAAAATACAAAAAAATTAGCCAGGCGTGGTGGCGGGCGCCTGTAGTCCCAGCTTCTCGGGAGGCTGAGGCAGGAGAATGGTGTGAACCCAGGAGGCGACTGAGCTTGCAGTGGGCGGAGATCGCGCCACTGCACTCCAGCCTGGGAGACAGCAAGACTCTGTCTAAAAACAAGGTGATGCATGCCTGTACCAGCTACTCAGGAGGCTGAGGCAGGAGAATGGCTTGAACCCAAGAGGTAGAGGTTGTGGTGAGCCAAGATCCCACCATTGCACTCCAGCCTGGGCCGTAAGAGTGAAACTCTGCCTCAAATAATAATAAAAATAATAATAATAATAACAAAAAATTAAAAATTAAAATAAGCCCGTCAAATTTAGACATTGCAAACATCTTCTCCTAGACTGTCACCTTCCTGTGAACTTTACCTGTGATATTCTTAGTAATAAAAATATTAAAAAAAAAAAAAAGAAAAAAAAGCTGGCCAAAACCCCCTAAAACTAAGATGGCAATGACAGTAACCTCTGATTGTCCTCACTGCTACACTCCCACCAGCACCCTAAGAGTTTACAGATGCCATGGCAACGTCAGGAAATTACCCTATATGGTCTAAAATGGGGAAGCATGAATAATCCACTTTCTGTTTAGGATATAATCAAGAAATAACCATAAAAATGGGCAACCAGCAGCCCTTGGGGCTGCTCTGCCTATGGAATAGCCATTCTTTATTCCTTTACTTTCTTAATAAACTTGCTTTAACTTTACTCTGTGGATTCCACTGAAATTCTCTCTTGCACGAGATCCAAGAACCATCTCTTGGGGTCTGGATTGGGACCCCTTTCCAGTAACAGTAGGTTCTTAATATCTGTTTGTGGAATGCCTAGAACCTAAACTCTTTAAGTCCTGGTCTGAGAAATGCAGTAGAGTGGAATGAGGAGAACCTGGAATCAGACTCAAGTTTAAAAATCAGGTTTTTCACTAACAAGCTACGTAGCCTTAGACAAATTACTCTATCTCTCAGAACGTCTGTTTTCGTATGGGCATAAAATACTTATTTTGCTATAATGCTGTGTCAGTGAAATGAGCACTTGCTGCAGTGCGACTCAGAGGGTACCCAAAAATGTTCAACATTATTAGTTACTATTTCCAATGGCAGGCAAATTATAATCATGGGTATGCCACACATAAGTACATGTAAGTACATATACTGGAGAGAATTTAAATGGAGTTTTAAGCATTTCACAATACCTCTCAAAAACAAGTATATAAAAAAATTAATGCAAAGCAAAAAAATATTCAGACCTGACAAATGGTCTTGAAAGACTAGAAACACACACTGTAGTTTTAGATTTCATTATACTATCATTTAAGTGAGGGGTTATAAATGTGATGGAAAATAAAATAAACACAACATAGAGGAGGAAAAACAAAGATCATTATAGGGAATTTTCAGAGACAATAAAATGAGCCAGGTATAGAATATAAGTTCTTTAAATTTGGGTCTAGACTACTGGTAATTTATTCCCAAAGCAAACCACCTTTGGTCTGTTTCTACCTGGGCTCTTGAATTCTACTTTCCCATACATGACTGAATTTCCAAATAGCAACCACTAATCCATTACAAATGTAAATCACATCATTACACTTGCATATTCCCCACTCCCCACAAAGGCTTCCCACTGTACTCGAAATCAAGCGCTAGCTTTAAGTGCAACAGTCCCAACTGGCAACAACCAAAACGTCCACCGACATGGCCAGTGGCTACCATATTAGATCACTATGTGGCTGACTCTCACATAGGTCTCAGCAATAATCTTCTGAGGCTTCTCCTCAGAGGCCTTCTAAACCCAATCTAAAGTAGCGCTCTCCCCCAGCACATTGTTCTTTATTTTTTTTGGAGCACATATCACATTATCTCGAACTATTTTATTTGTTCTATTATTTGTATTCTATTATAATGCAAGCACCAGGAAAACTGGTGTCTTTTGTTCAATACTGTTATCACCAGTGGCTAAAACGGTGCCTGGCACAAAGTAGACATTCAATAATTATATAGTGAATACATAAACACGCAACTTTCCAAATCTTTAATTACATGTTGTATAGCAGTAAACCTTGGGTGGACAAAATACTATAATCTCAAAATGACTTACCACTGGCATGCAGAAAGTTAACTTACCAGGCTACTTCCTCCAAAAGGCTTTCATTGACAACCCCAGCCTGAGCTGTCTCTCATACAATTGTTTAGCATCCAGTACTTCCTCTCATGGTAACTCTTATTATATTGTAACTAAGTTACTTGGTTGTATCTCCCACTGAACTGTCTCTTGACTGAAAGAAATATGTCAACTGTTTGAGTACTTTTTTCACACATAAGTCACTACTTCATTTTCCTAAACCAAAGCATGGAAGAGCTGGGAAGTAATTAAGGCCCAGTAATCTAGAGGTCATACTATGCAAGGGATATGGTGTGTCTATTAGCAACAGGTTCCATTGGCTTATGAGGCACTGCCTGAAGCTTCCAGGGAAATATATAGGGGAAACAGTCCAGAGGATTCAGGATGGTCTGGTATGACTCTGAACTAGCTCTATCTGGACGGCCCAGTCCCTACACTGACCCCAGAATGACACCATAATGCAGCCCTCTCTGACATATTTGTAACTCTGCTTGCCACATAATCAGTATCCTCATCTCCTAGCGCATGGTAATAACATTGTCTTTAATATAAAGATGTACCTATTTGCAGTCACTACCTCTATCACCACCATCAGCAGAGCCTGAGCTAAGGAAACCACGGTTCTCAATACCCAGCACACCCACTTCCAATTATCTGTTAAAACATGGTGGATTACTATGAAGTTCTAGGAGTGCAAAGATATGCTTCACCTGAGGACATTAAAAAAGCTTATCATAAAGTGGCACTTAAATGGCACCCTGATAAAAATCCAGAAAATAAAGAAGAAGCAGAGAGAAAATTCAAAGAAGTAGCTGAGGCATACGAGGTATTATCAAATGATGAAAAACGGGACATTTACGATAAATGTGGCAAAGAAGGATTAAATGGAGGTGGAAGTCATTTGGATGATGAATGTCAGTATGGCTTCACATTCCATAAGCCAGATGATGTTTTTAAAGAAATTTTTCATGAAAGGGATCCATTTTCTTTTCACCTCTTTGAAGACTCGCTTGAGGACCTGTTAAATCATCCAAAAAGCTCCTATGGAAACAGAAACAGAGACGCAGGATCCTTTTTCTCTACCTCCAGTGAATGTCCAATTTTTGAGAAATTTTCTTCATATGATACAGGATATACATCACAGGGTTCACTGGGGCATGAAGGCCTTACTTCGTTCTCTTCCCTGGCTTTTGATGATAGTGGAATGGACAACTACATATCTATTACAACTTCAGACAAAATTGTTAATGGCAGAAATATTAATACAAAGAAAATTATTGAAAGTGATCAAGAAAGAGAAGCTGAAGATAATGGAGAGTTGACATTTTTTCTTGTAAATAGTGTGGCCGATGAAGAGGGCTTTGCAGAAGAATGCAGCTGGAGAAGACAGTCATTGAACAACTATTCACCAAAGTCTCACAGCTCCAAACATGTATCTCAACGTACTTTTGTGGACAATGATGAGGGAGGTATATCTTGGGTTACCAGCAACCGGGATCCCCCTACTTTCTCAGCAGGAGTCAAAGAGGGTGGTAAGAAGAAAAAAAAGAAGCGTAAAGAGGTGCGAAAGAAGTCTACCAAAAGGAATTGTTAAATTGACTCTTCAAACATAACATTTGAACACAATTGTGTGTGTTTTGGTTAATCACAAATTTTGTAGATAACACTTGTTTAATACCATACTAAGAGCTTTTCAACACTCTTAACAGGATTGTGGACATTTGGTTAGTAGTTGTTTGGATTGGGTATGTCAGAAAAGGATGAGTTTGTTGTGACAGTTGGTGCTATTAAGAATTTGCCTGGGTAATATAGTGAGATCTTGTCTCTACAAAAAATTTACAAATTAGCCAAGTGTGGTGGCACGCACCTTGTAGTCCCAGCTACTTGGGAAGCTGGTAGGACTGCTTGAGCCTAGGAGACACAGGTTGCAGTGTACTGAGATCACGCCACTGCACTCCAGCCTGGGTGACAAAGTGAGACCCTGTCTTAAAAAAAAAGGAATTTGGAAAACTGCAAAGAGTTTTTTACTTCAGAATTTTTCTTTAGTAGAGTGTATAGCCTATTTTATTTCTTTTCTCTAATTAAAACCACTATACACATTTCTGAAACATGCATAACATTAGGAGACAAGAAGGTATTAAGACACACAGGTTCAGACTATATAATTATTCATGAAATGACTTTTTTCCAATGGAGGTACAGCATTTGATGCATAACTTAAAGCTACTACAAATTAAAAATTAAAGTATAAAATATTTTAAGTTAAAAATAAACTTAGTTGGGTGCAGTGGCTCACACCTGTAATCCCAGCATCTTGGGAGGCCCAGGAAGGAGGGTTGCTTGAGGTCAGAATTTCACGACAGTCTGGGTAACATAAAGAGACCTGTCCTCTATGAAAAAAATTTTTAAAAACTTTAGCTGGGTGTGGTAGTGCGTGCCTGTAGTCCTAGCTACTCAGGAGGCTGAGGTGGGAGGATTGCTTGAGCCCAGGAGTTTGAGATTGTAGGGAGCTATGATATTGCCATTGCACTCCAGCTGACAGAGTGTGACCCTGTCTCTAAAGAAAAACAATAAAAAAGTAAAAAAATTTAAAAACGGGTAACATTGTAAATTTTATGTAGTATATTTTACCACTCTTTTTTTAAGGCCAGTCTTACCCTGAACTCAGAGCAGTCTGTATGGTAGGCCATCACTGAATCACTCCAGATAGGAAACTTTCTATTTTTGTTCAGAGTTTGTACACAAAATCTACAAATACGTTACATTGAAATACCACGTATAGCCATTTTAATTTAGTCATGTTGGGAGAAAAACAGATGGGTTACAAATACATCAGATATCGAGCAAATCGTTTGAGTTACATCTAGCAGCACTAAAACTTATTCACCTTTGGCCAAATACAAACACAAAATTGGAAAAAAAATGATAATATCTGCTATTTTTAAAAGACAGTTATAGTCAAGAGCTTGTGTTTTGTATCGGTATTTGATTTTTAGTGGGCAGATGGGAGAAGGAAAGGTTATTTATTCTACAGAAGAGACTGGGGACAATTCATATAAAAAGTTTATTTTCAGAAAATAAAATAATAAAAGCCCAGGGTATTTTAAATGCTTCTTATATAAGATGTGATATTTAGTAAAGTTTATCTGTTATCATGTATGTGGTAGTAAAGTTGAAAAAAATTGCAATTTTCCAAAAACTAAAGCAAAAATCAGTGTCTCAGAAAATTTAAGAATGTAATGACATGCCCTGTAGTCCATTTCTTCACTCTTAACAGAAAACCAAAAATTTAGATTTAACCATCTTACTCAATAGCTTAAAATTCCTCAAAGTTTTCCCACCATCTAAAGGAAAAAGCTAATTGTTTCTTAACATAATATACAAGGCCCTCCATGAGCCAGCCACCAGCTTTTTCCCAACTTGATTTCCTATCAGCTCCTTGCGCCCATCTTACGCTCTAGCTCAACTTTTTCCAAAATCTGTTCCAGGGATACCAGTTCAAGACTCATCACAGAAAAGGGGTCCATGGTCAAATACATTTTTACACATTTTGCAAATTACTGCTGAACACATCTCCTAGAAACCTAGACTATTAAGGGCTGGGTGCAGTGGCTCACGCTTAAAATCTCAACACTCTGAGAGGCTGAGGTGGGAGGATCACTTGATCCTAGGAGTTCAAGTTTACCCTGGTCAACATGGCGAGACCCCATCTCCAAAAAAAGATTTAAACTATTATGTACATTATGAAATGCAGCATTCCCCAAAAGTATTTGATCACAGAATCATTTTCGTGTAATGCCTACTATTTTGTCTAAGAACATATTTCAAAAAAGCTTTTCCTAAGCCGGGTGCGGTGGCTCACGCCTGTAATCCTAGCACTTTGGGAGGCCGAGGCCGGCGGATAATCCGAGGTCAGGAGTTTAAGACTAGTCTGGCCAACATGGTGAAACCCTGTCTCTACTAAAAATACATAAATTAGCCAGGCATGGTGGCGGGCACCTGTAATCCCAGCTACTCGGGAGGCTGAGGCAGGAGAATCGCTTGAACTCCGGAGGTAGAGGTTGCAGTGAGCCAAGAGATCGCGCCATTGCACTCGGGCCTGGGCAAGAGTCAGACACTGTCTTTTAAAAAAAAAAAAAAAAAAAAAAAGCCGGGCATGGTGGCTCAAGCCTGTAATCCGCACCTTGGAGGCCGAGACGGGCGGTCATACGAGGTCAGGAGATCGAGACCATCCTGATTAATACAGTAAACCCGTCTCTACTTAAAAAAAAAAAAAAAAAAAACTAGCCGGGCGAGGTGGGGGGCGCCTGAGTGCAGCTACTTGGGAGGCTGAGGCAGGAGAATGGCGTAAACCCGGGAGGGGAACTTGCGTGGAGCTGAGATCCGGCCACTTGCACTCCAGCCTGGGCGACAGAGCAAGACTCCAATCTCAAAAAAAAAAAAAAAAAAAAGCTTCTCCAGCCATACTACATGATTGCAATGCTTAGTGTTGGCCATTCCTTTTCAGAGTTCTGTGCCTTTACAAGCGTTCCTTCTGGTAGTACGGCTTTTAGTCATGTTGGTGACAGCCTTTCAAATAAAAGCAAATTCCAGGCCGGGCGCGGTGGCTCAGAGAGGAGGGTGGATCGCTTGAGGCCAGGAGTTCGAGATCCACTTGGCCAACATGGCAAAATCTGGTCTCTACTACAATTACGAAAATTAGCCGGGCGTGGTGGTACGTGCCTATAATCCCAGTTACCTCCGGAGGCTGAGGCACGAGAATTGCTTGACCCCAGGAGGCAAGAGGATGCAAATGAGTAGAGATTGCCACTGCACTCCAGTCTGAGCGACAGAATGAGGGCCTGTCTCAAAAAAAGACTGAACAATTGCACATCTTTCTTTTCACCTAATCCCACGGAAACTTACGTCTTTCTGTAGCTTTACTATGAGAACTGAAGAACAAGTTCTGTGCACTGGACAATAACTTTTTATTTTTTATAGTAAGAAGTCGATGTAATTAACATTCCATTTTAAATGAATTCAAGTATATCAACATAAACATATGCCAAGACATAGCTTTGATGTCAAATACCATACGTGCTGGTTCACACGTTGTTTATATATTGGCCCAAAAAACTGAAATACAATCCAACGGCAGATCCGCCTGCAAGGAAGGTGATTCAGTTTTCACTGATTAAGCTTTATGTTCATCAGATTAATTGCTCGCAATAGAGGACACCCTACAAAAAATTATTCTCCTTAATCCTTCGTCTTGTCTTTGCAAACAGGACTTTCAGACACAGAATGCCCCAGGAGTATTTCCAAACAGTTACCTTTCCTAAGAAGAGCTGCTTAAATAATTTGTGTTACTAAGACACGCTTCGTGTATATTCTGGAGCAAGCTTTCATGCCTAACAGAAACAAGAGCTACTTGATGTGAGACACTTTGTCACTTATATCACTTATTTGTGATAATTGCCACAACTTCGGAGTCCGAGTAACTTGGAAGACAGCCCCTCTGGGGGATGGCACACTTTTTTCTCTGCAGTCATTTCGGCTTCACAGAATACCTGAACCGTAGAGAACACACTGGGACCACCCCTTTCCAGGAGCAGCCGGTATAGAAGAAATCCGCGGAGAGCACAGAGGGTTGGGGAGCGGAGGCCCCACCAGGAGAAGGGTCGGCCGAAACAGGGATCGCCTGAGACCAACTTGGGTCCCTCCAGGGGACACCATGGGAGGAGACCGTGGGAGGAGAGTCTAACCTGAGAAACTGCGGATGTTTGCTACAGCGGGAACCAGCTTGGGGGCTGAGAGCAGCCAAGGCATGACGGCCTAACTCACGCGTCGGGAAGAGAAAGAGGGTAACCGCCTGCAGCGCCGCGTCGCCAGGAAACCGGGCCAGCCCCCTCCCCGCTTCCGGCAGGCGTCGCTCCCGGGCCTTCCTTGCGCGGCGGCGCAGGGTGTGACGTCATGCCCCGAGGTGGGACCGCCTTTCCGGGTCCACACCCTTTTTTAGGTCGGGGTGTTGAGTTCTACTCGGTGCGCGCAGCCACACAGTGTGTTCTTGGACGTTGCTTCCTGGAGGGGATGATATCTACCGCCTTCTTGAAGGCGCCCATTTCTGGGGTTGGCCCATCCAGGGAGCTGGTTCCTAGTTAAGAATATGAGAATGCATGCGCAGGGAGGCAGGCAATAGCACGAACAGCCACGCTTCTAGAAGGTTCTAGGGAGCGCGCAGGAGCAGCGCAGAGAGAGTAGGAATGAGCAGGCGGAGGACCCGGGGTCACGAGACCGTTGGGTGGGAGGAGCCAGCGGCCGGGGAGGTTCTGGTCTGTTCTGCCTCGCGGCAGCCGCCCCCTTCTGCGCGGTCACGCCGAGCCAGCGCCTGGGCCTGGAACAGGGCCGTAGTCCCCCAGCTTCGCACACCACCTCTCTACCATGGACCCCCGCAAAGTGAACGAGCTTCGGGCCTTTGTGAAAATGTGTAAGCAGGACCCGAGCGTTCTGCACACCGAGGAAATGCGCTTCCTGAGAGAGTGGGTGGAGAGGTGAGACCCAGGCCTGAGGACCGTTGGGGGCAGGGAGAAGCACGGCCCCAGGGGGAGCCGGGCGGGAGCTGGCTCCGGCCGGCGGGCGAGGCGGGCCCGCAGCCCTTTCTTTGCCCGGGAAAGGGAGGCGACTTCGATGGGTCATGGAGGATCGCGAGCCCTGGGTAGTACAGGAGCTGCGGGGAGCCGGAGGCAGACCGGGTTCCTCGCACACTGAGGTTGCCAGGGGTGTATCTTGGGCGAAATAAAAAAACAGGACTGCGGATACGTCGACACTGGAGACGCGAGGAGTGAGAACTGCAAGACTTAGCTTTTGCGTGGGGTGGTTTTTTTTTTCAGTCTCGTGTGCCCTGCTCAGGTCTCATTGGTATATAGCGGTTCCTTTACGCACCATCCCTTTACATTGTGTTATAATAATATAACACTAGTAAGTTAAAAGTTACAAAATTATTTAGTAAGTTAGAATAAAAATGATAACTGTAAAAATGATTGTCTTTACCTTACAGCGTTTCTAGCTGCGTAGGATTAATTATCTTGAGAATCACTTTTTATACCTCCGTTACTTGGCAGTGTTATCACTCCAAACACTTCTGAGAAAAATAATGTTTTAAGTCCTGGCGTGTTTCCAGGATGTATTCTTGTCTTTAACTGTAGAGTACTTCGCTACGTGCAAGGAGTTAATTGCCAAGGCATTGTGCCTGGTGCTAGGAAGCAGTATAAGTATTATTTAGGGATACAGACGAATAAATACAAAAGTTCGTTTTGATATTTACTATATAATAGTAATTAGCACTTTACGTATTGAAGGAGCCCCGAAGAGAGAAAAAGTGAGAAGGAAGTCTTCCCTAAGATGACTTTTTAAAAAGTTACTACTAGTGGATAACTGAAAAGATGACATACAAATTGCACTAAACAGGGATAAATAGCAACTATGCAGACCATTGCGACTCCTAAGAGGTACTATTGTGAACATTATCTATTTAGTGATTTTTCTCTTTTAGAGACAGAGTTTGGCTGTATCATCCAGGCCGCATACAGTGGCGGGATCACTGCAGCCTCTGATTCCTGCACACAGACGATCCTCCTGCCTCAGCCTCCCAGGTGGCTAGCAGTGCAGGATCGAGCTACCATACTTGGCTAATTTAATTTTTTTTTAGAAGTGGGGGTCACGTTAAGTTGCCCAGGCTTGTCTTGAATTCTTGGCCTCAGAGGACTCCCCTGCCTCCCAAAGTGGTGGTATTACAGGCGTCAGCCACTTCACCCAGCCTGATATTTTTATATGGGAAGATGAGCTCATGATTACCAAATAGCTCAAAGAATATTAACAGGCTGGTTCTAAGGAAAAAACTCGTTGCAATCTGTCAACGTTGTATATTTTTTTCCTCTTAAGTAGTTTTTCAATCTTTAACTCCCCACTAATTGTCTTAACTACTGAAAGACTTACTTGTATGTGAAATTCTGAGACCATTTAATACTATTATGTTAATAGTAACTATGACTATTGGTAAGAAGTCTATTTTGCAAACTCCTCAGCCGGGAAATGTCAGGATTAGGAATTGAGGGCTAGATTTTAGTCGTTTTCTCTATTGAGCAGCTTGATGATCCAAAAGCCTTTAAGATATTTGTATGCTTTTATCCTAATTATGGGAAAGAACCTGCAGTTAATAAATTCTTTCTAAAATTCCAGGTAAAGTAAACAAGTATCACAGGAAGAAATAGCTAGCTCCAAGAGCTGACTGCACTTTAAGTGGATACAATGTTTTTGTTCCATTCTTACTAGTGAGGAAGAGGAGACACAGAAGGAAAAATTAACGCGTAAGAACAGTGTCCTCCTGACTTGTGTTGGAGTGATTGTGCCTATATAGAGAATTCCAGTTGAAGGTCTGCAAAATATTTGTCAGGCACTACTATCTCCTGCCCACCCCCCCAAAAAAAACAACAAATCGTCATATGCTTTATTTTAACATAGATAATTCCAGTTTTTCTTTCTGATTCCACTTACATTCTTGTGGCATCCTGAGTCGGCTTAAGTATGGGGTGAAGCATCATGGCATACGTTAGGACTTTATTCTGAACTTAAATTGAGATATTTAATATAGAAGCTTTTTCTCTTTATTTCTGCATTTAAACTAAGATTTTTATAAACTCTTGAGGCCTTTGAGTTTGTATCCGTTTCTCTCTCTGCTTTCATCAATCTGCAGTTCAAGATTATGGCTGATGGGGCTGAATACCGAGACTTCTAGGTCCAGACGTATTCCTAGGCCTGGTCCTACTGTTAGGGTTACTCAAGTTGAAAGCATCTCAGTTTCTCACAGGCTTAGCTGTTGAAGAACAGTACATTTGCCTATTTGCTGTAATTGCTAGCATTGTTTATAGCTTAGTTTTATTTGATATAAGGATTTATTAGTTTAACAAACTTTTTTTTTTTTTTTTTGAGACGGAGTCTCGCTCTGTCGCCCAGGCTGGAGTGCAGTGGCCCCGATCTCAGCTCACTGCAAGCTCCGCCTCCCTGGGTTCACGCCATTCTCCTGCCTCAGCCTCCCGAGTAGCTGGGACTACAGAGTAGCTGGGACTACAGGCGCCCGCCACCTCTCCTGGCTAGTTTTTTGTATTTTTTTAGTAGAGACGGGGTTTCACCGTGTTAGCCAGGATGGTCTCGATCTCCTGACCTCGTGATCCACCAGTCTCGGCCTCCCAAAGTCTGGGATTACAGGCTTGAGCCACGCGCCCGGCCTAACAACCTTTTAAATTGCACAAAGAGAAGTACTAAAAGTCTGAACTAGTTGTCAGTGAGGATCCAGGAGACTGTTCTTTTCAAGAACTGTGTTTTGAGATGTTTTTGTTTTCCCCATTTTAGAGACAGAAACATTCTCCCACTCTATTTTCTCCCGTTTAACAATTTAGTATCTTGTATGTGCTTTCATGGCTTTACTTGATGGTAATTAAGATCAAAGAGAGTGTCTTTGTATTCTAGGTAGCACAGTACATGGCACATGGCTTTTCTAAATACCGTAAAGGAAATGAAGAGAATGCATTTCTACCCTCAATATAGGATTTAGAGTGTAGCAACCAATTTTTTTGTACATGTGTATAAATAGCTATAGCACAAAGCAGATTAGAAGGTTATCAAATTAAGAGAATTGTGAATGAAGTTTTGTGTGGTACTGTGTAAGAAAGGTCTCTACACTGGTCTTACTTGATTGTGTAACATAAAAGCCTGTAGTGGCAAAGTCCAAGTGGCAGTTCTTGGCCAGAAAGTAGCTTGTTGTGAGGCTTGGAAGCATTAATTGAAATTTCGTACCTCCCAGATGGTGTTTTCTTCCATTAGTTAACTAGAATTTAGGATGTGAGAAACTAAATCTAGCTTATGAGTAAATCCTCTTTTTTTTTTTTTTTAAGTTTTTATTTTTTTGCAACAATTTCTGGCTCAGAGAAAAATTGCAGGTATGGTACAAAGAAATTTTTTCTGAACTAGTTGAAAGTAAGCTGCCAACATTATGCCCCAACACCATTGAGTGTGTATTTCCTACAAACAAAGTCTTTACAATACAGATATTAAACTTAGGAAACTAATACTGATGCATGCATGCTATATAATCCTCAGATTTATGTGTTGCATTTAGTTGCCATGTCACCTAGTCTCCATTCTGATACAGTTCCTCAGTCTTTCCTTGAGTTTCATGATCTTGACAGTTTGAATATTATAGTCAAGTTATTTTGTAGACTTTTTCTAATTTTGGGTTTGTCTGGCCTTCCTTGAGTATTGGATTTAGCTTAATACATTTCTTGACAGGAATATCACTTCCCCAAGTTGGTGTACCGTAAGTTATACTATGTCTGGATGTCACCCTGAATACATTCCTGACACTGCATTTTGAAACTTAGGAAGAACATAGTGTAGGAAACCTTGTGTCTTCGTTAAAATTTAACTACAAAGGATTGGTGATTACCGTGCTCTTTCGCAAAGTAGTATCTCCATAGAAAAGAATTTTGTGGTGTCTGTATGCCTGTTCCTTATCATTAAATCATTTTACTTTGCTGAACTGCAGATTAGGATGTTTTGGATCATATAATCTTTATTGTTGACATGGGAGCTATTCCATATTAAGGGTACTGAGTAACATTTTTTTCTATCATATTAAGCATGATGGAAAAAGTAGGCACATTTTGTTTGAATGGTGCTTATAAGAAGGTCCAAATTCTGTTTCTTTTCGTTCCATTTGCTACTTTGCATTTATACTTTTGCTTTATATTGGGATCCTCAGATGATACTAAAAGAGTGAAAAGGCAAGCCACATGGTAGGAGAAAATATTTGCAACACATAAAGCTGACAAAAGGGTTCATATGCGGAATATACAAACGACACCTTCAAATAAATAAAGACAATCTTTTAGAAAGCTGGATGAGAGTTGAACTTTACAAAAAAGTCTTTTCAAATGAGCAGTAAATACATGAAAAGGGACTCAACTGCAATGAGATACCAGTAGACACCTATCAGAATGGCTAAAAAAAAAGATGGACAATAGCTAAGTGTTGGCCAAGGGGCGGAACAGTTGGAATTCTCATGGGTTGCTGATAAAAGTGTGAATTGATAAAAGAATTTCGGAAAACTGATACTCATTTAAATTCAACCTGCACATACCCTTATGACCACAAATTCCACCCAGTTGAAATGAATGTAAATGTAGATATGATAACTCTAGTTAACAAAGAATCAGGCCGGGCCTGGTGGCTCACGCCTGTAATCCCAGCACTTTGGGTGGCCGAGGCGGGCAGATCACAAGGTCAGGAGATCGACACCATTCTGGCTAACATGGTTAAACCCCGTCTCTACTAAAACAAAATATTAGCCAGGTGTGGTGGCATGCGCCTGTAATCCCAGCTACTCGGGAGGCTGAGGCTGGAGAATCACTTGAAACCAAGAGGTAGAGGTTGCAGTGAGCCAAGATCACGCCACTGCACTTCAGCCTGGGTGACAGAGCGAGACTCCATCTCAAAAAAAAAAAAAGAGGAATCAACCCTTTCTGTTTTCAAAGTTAATATATCCCTTGTTTTACATAGTTAATGACTTTTTTCTTTTTTTTTTTTTTTTAAACGTACAGTTTATTGAATGCCATGGTAGAAAAGTGTGTGAGGATAAAGGGCTGATACAGGACTTGGCTCCAGGGGCAGGGCGAGGAATGGAAGGTGGAGCACGTGGGATACAGGTTATGGGCAGGGCTCCTGGCCTGAATGATGTCTCCTGATCTATCAGTAGGCTTGGAAGATCAATACTGGGATGACGATGAGCAGAATGGTCATGAGGATGCCCAAAATCAGGGCCCAGATGTTCAGGCACTTGGCGGTGGAGGCATAGGCCTGGGCCCCAGTCAGGCCGCCAACCATCTTCCTGTCCCTAGACTTCACGGAGTAGGCGAATGCTGTGAAGCCCAGGCAGCAGGGGTTCATGAAGAGGGTGTTGAACAGGGACCAGACGACGTGGTCGGGCACGGAGGTCTCACTGCGGATGTGGATCATGGTGGACATCAGGGGAGCAGAGTTGTGGGGCGCCCCCAGTACAGCCACCTCGTGCTCCTCCTTGAGCATCTCATAGTTGTGGGGCTGGCCGCTGTTGACAGGAGAGAAGGAGGTTTGGACTGTGTGGTTCATGGTGTCCTGCGAAGGCCAGCGGTGGTCGGGTTAGTCCTTTTTCTTTGTTTTTAAGGCAAATTTTAATAATGTCTGTGTTGCTTCCAACTGTTGTGAAGTGTTCTCAAATCTATCAACCATTTTAGTAACTGGAATGTCACAGGTAGCCTATATGCTATAGTGTCTGCACCAAATTGGAGCATGTAATGCTAATTCTTTGTGTTTTTTGTTTGTTTGTTTGTTTTTTTGAGACGGAGTTTCACTCTTGTTGCCCAGGCTGAAATGTAATGGTGCGATCTTGGCTCACTGCAACCTCTGCCTCCCAGGTTCAAGCAATTCTCTTGCCTCAGCTTCCCGAGTAGCTGGGATTACAGGCATGCGCCACTACGCCTGGCTAATTTTGTAGAGACGGGGTTTCTCCATGCTGGTCAGGCTGGTCTCGAACTCCCCACCTCAGGTGATCTGCCCACCTCAGCCTCCCAAAGTGCTGGGATTACAGGCGTGAGCTGCTGTGCCTGGCCACTTTGTCTCTTTTTTCTTCCTCTTCTAGTTATTTACTTCTAATGAATTGTGTTGCCCTGGACTATTTGGAAAAGAAGAGTTTGTAGGGCCAGGAGGAAGTATTAATGGATGAGATCGGGAGGGGTGTATAAGAAGAAAATGTATAATGTAATGGGCATGCAAATATAAGCAAGAAGAGTCCTCGTAGGTCTCAGTCACAGGAAATAAACATTTTGAATTATTATATCATGACTGCATAATTATTTCATAAACTGCATATTTAAATTTAATTGAACTACTCTTATTTCAAGTTTCAAATTTTGGATTCAAATATACCTACTGAGTTGAATTTTAAGTTACCAGCTTGTATAAATGATTTTGTCATTCCATGTTGACATATCTGCCTCTTTTCCTCTGGAAAGAGACACAGAGAAGCTATAAATTATGTTTATTAGACTTACTGAGGCAAAGAAAGGGGTGGATTAGCCAGTAGCCTAAAAATAAATAAAATTTTAAGCTGGAAAAAATTTCACCATAATAATACCACAGATTCAGATCAATTGAGAGTTTACTTTTAAATTTTGAAAAGGTAGTCATCTAAATGTCTAACTTTATTTTTTAGGTATAAATAGGTTGCGTGATAGTGATTTTTAATTTTCTAAACAAATTTCTTTTTTCTCCTCTTCTTCAAGCATGGGGGGTAAAGTACCACCTGCTACTCAGAAAGCTAAATCAGAAGAAAATACCAAGGTAAGTTTTAATTTCATTTGTATGTTTTGTGATAAAGTACTATAGAGTTTCTTAGGGGTTGTTTTTAAGCTGCTGCTCTCCAATTATCACTCCTGATTTCCCCAAGATCACTTGGAAATAAGATCTTTTAAGACCTCTTTGTCTTTATAAACTTTGTAGACCGAATTCGCTGGATTCTGATTTAGAACTGAGAATTTAGGGTTGGATGTTCACTGTTTTAGAATGCATGACAATAAAAGTTACATGTATGGCCTGTAAGTGGTAAGTTCCGTGATGGTATGCATCCGTAGTCTTCATCATTGCCTTACAGTGTGTCATATACATTGTAAGTACTTTATTTATTATTTGCAGAGTAAATGAAGAAGTATCCCAGTTCAGGAATTTAATTTTTTTGCTCTACTACCTGAGTAATATTTCTGAATGTGAGTCATGGTGTTAGGTTGGCATATTTGCTTAAAGGATGTGTAAGATTAGGAGAAGGCTACCGGTAGCTGAAGTTGAGAGACAGATGAAGGGGAAAATACATGTTTGAGAACGTTTTGTTTTGTTTTGTTTGTTTGTTTGTTCTTTTCTGAGACAAAGTCTCACTGTGTCCCAGGTCCAAGTGCAGTGGTACACTCTCGGCTCACTGCAACATCAGCCTACTTGGGTTCAAGCGATTCTCCTGTCTCAGCCTCCCGAGTATCTGGGATTATAGGTGCATGCCACGATGGCCGGCTAATTTTTCTATTTTTAGTAGAAATGGGGGTTTTGCCGTGTTGGCCAGACTGGTCTGGAACTCCTGACCTCAAGTAATCCATCTGCCTCAGCCTCCCAAAGTGCTGGGACTAAGGTGTGAGTCACTGCACCTGGCCAAGAATGCTTTCTTCATAATTTTTTATTTCTCTCTTCTGCCTTCATATCTAAAAGGCTTTTTTTTTTTTTTTTTTTTTTGCAAATTTTCTGATTAGCTGTCTTAAATTGATAAGAAAATTAGCTGTTTTATTATTTAAAAACTTAAACATTGATATCTATTTGGATCTTAAAGTAGAAGTTATGTCTATTAAGAAGGAGAATGAGAAAAGGTAAGCAAAAGCCCAAAAAGTAGTTACCTTTTTTTAAAAGAGTCATTTATCAGAGTGGTATTTTCTGAGCCATAGGTATTTTGCCATTTGGCAAATGCATATGAAGGCAAAATTATATTTAACCTATGTGTCAGCTGAAAATTTTTTGTAAGAAAAACATTCTAAATTAGAATTATGACTGGTCTTTTCAATATATTCTAGAGTACCTAGACTTTGCACATTTTATAGGGACTCAACAAATATTTTGTGACAAGGTAGGTCTTTGGTTCTAATTTTTTTTTTTTTTAATTTTTAATTTTTTTGGTTGAAACGGAGTCTCGCTCTTATCGCCCAGGCTGGAGTGCAGTGGCGCAATCTCGGCTCACTGCAAGCTCCACCTCCCGGATTCATGCCATTCTCCTGCCTCAGCCTCCTGAGTAGCTGGGACTACAGGTGCCCACCACCACACCCAGCTAATTTTTTTGTGTTTTTAGTAGAGACGGAGTTTCACCATGTTAGCCAGGAGGGTCTCCATCTCCTGACCTTGTGATCTGCCCACCGCAGCCTCCCAAAGTGCTGGGATTACAGGCATGAGCCACCACGCCCGGCCTTGGTTCTAATTTTTTAAGTAACAGGGAAGCAACCTAAAAAACTGGTTAATGATATATGGTTGAGTGAATAGATAAAGATAGGCTGATAATGGTATATAATTCACAAGATACACAGCATTGTTAAATGCAAAAGGCAAAGGATAGAGTTGTTTCTTATAGAGAGAGACTATCCTAGAATGGGATATACAAGAAACCACACTGACTACTTATAGGATGGGAAGAAAATGTTGCTTTCTATAATGTCATGTGCACTTTTAAATTCTTTGAATTTTCATTGTTTATTATTATAGTTCCACAGGTTCTTATTTGCAGTTCCAAAACTCAAAAACCCTTGTAAAGATTTTTACTAAATTTGACAATGAAACATAATGTGAGTGGACATGAGGCTATTTATAATCTCTAAACTGTTCATTGTCAATGTTCAAACTTTATTTTGAACAGTTTCTCTGTCCCCAGGCTGGAGTGCAGTGGCATGATCTTGGCTCACTGCAACCTCTGCCTCCCAGGTTCAAGTGATTGTCCTGCCTCAGCCTCCCAAGTGGCTGGGATTACAGGCGTGCACCACCATGTCTAGCTGATTTGTATTTTTAGTAGAGACGGTTTGACCATGTTGGCCAGGCTGGTCTTGAACTCCTAACCTCAAATGATCCACCCAACCCAGCCTCCCAAAGTGCTGGAATTCCAGGCATGAACCACCATGCCTGGCCATATTTGAACAGCTTATACATAGATTTGTAGAAGTTAGTATAAATATTGGGTATGTTATTAAATACTGATACTGTTTGCCTTCCCTTTGCTAGGAAGAAAAACCTGATAGTAAGAAGGTGGAGGAAGACTTAAAGGCAGACGAACCATCAAGTGAGGAAAGTGATCTAGGTGAGGAGATGGTAGTTGGTTTGTATTTGAAAACTTATGATGTGATCCTTTGTTGATTTTTATTAAAGTGACTTAAATCAGCACTGTGTAATAGAAATATAATGGCACATATGAAACTTAGAATGTTCTAATAGTCACATTTTAGAAAGTAAAAGGAAACAGATGAAATAAATTCAGATATTAATGTCATATTGGTTGAAATATTGACATGTGTAATCAATATTTTTGGGGGGTGGGGGAGTGTTTCTTTTTTTTTTTTTTTTTGAGACGGAGTCTTGCTCTCGTCACCCAGGCTGGTGTGCAGTGGCACAATCTCGGCTCACTGCAACCTCCGCCTCCCGGGTTTAAGCAGTTCTCCTGCTTCAGCCTCCCGAGTAACTGGGATTACAGGCATGTGCTACCATGCCTGGCTAATGTTTGTAATTTTAGTAAAGACAGGCTTTCACTATGTGTGCCAGGGTGGCCTTGAACTCCTGACCTCGTGATCCACCCACCTCGGCCTCCCACAGTGCTGGGATTGCAGGTGTGAGGCACTGTGCCTGGCCTCAATATATTGTTAATAAATTATTTTCCTTTTTTTAATAGCATTCAAACTCCAAAGGGTATTTTACGCATGTGGTATCCCTCAATTCAGATTTTACATTTTCACTAATAATAAATCAGACTTCGTAATGTTTGTATTAGAAAAAGTTGGGTTACATATTAAAGTTGTTCTAAGCATACTTTAAAAGTTATCTTTTTTTTTTTTTTTTCTGTTTTTGAGATGGAGTCTCACTGCGTCGCCGAGGCTGGAGTGCAGTGGCATGATCTCAGGTCACTGCAGCCTCCACCTCCCAGGTTCAATCAGTTCTCATGCCTCAGCCGCCCTAATAGCTGGGACTACAGGCGTTTGCCACCAGGCACGGCTGATTTTTTTTTTTTTTTTTTTTGTAGAGACGGTTTCGCCATGTCGGTCAGGCTGGTCTTGAATTCCTGATCTCAGGTGATCCACCTGCCTTGGCTTCCCAAAGTGTTGGGATTACAGATGTGAGCCACCACGCCCAGCCAAAAGTTTTCCCGTAACTGAATTGAGTACCAAAAAATAGTATTCGTTTAGTACTTACAACCATGTTGATAAAACTGGTTCATATTTAGAGGAATTGTTATCTGTGCTATGAGTTTGGTTGGTTTTTTGCCACAAGTTGACAAAATTTCTTCATGAATTTGAAAGTCCTTTGGGGTATAAGTATTCCCCAGTTTATCAATTGAGAAATCTCTTATATCACAGAACCTAAAGAAAAGTACTTGAAATGTTTCAAACTTTGAATCTTTTTTTTTTTTTTGAGACTTGAGCCTTGGTCTGCCACCCAGGCTGGAGTGGGGTGGCATAATTTCGGATCACTGCAACCCCTCCCTCCTGGGTTCAAGCGATTCTCCTGCCTCAGCCTCCCGAGTAGCTGGGACTATAGATGTGTGCCACCATGTCTGGCTAATTTTTTTGTGTTTTCAGGAGAGACAGGGTTTCACC